CATCACACACCACTCATCATACACCACTCATCACACACCACTGATCACACACCACTCATCATACACCACTCATCATACCACTCATACACCAGCTCTGGTTTCAACAGCTCAAGGGCTGAGAAACCTTGAGCTTCCGCCAGACATTAGTTCCAGGCCCTGTCTCAATTTGATGCCAGGTAGTGCTGCAGCACCTCCCTCCCTCCGGAGGGAGTCTGGCAGCGTCGCCTTTGCCGATGTAAGATTCGCCATCACCGTCAATCCTTGTCAATCGCACAGAATGCAGGCCACAGTGGAGGCTTCATTCCCTTTCGCTTGTCACGTTAGAGCTCAAGTGCTTCACTGTTTTCCACGGCCAAGAGTAGTGTCACTGTCTCACCGTTGGTCTCACCTTTGCACGTACAAAGTTGAATCTCCAGTCGGTTCCTCGTTGCGTTTTGTTGTTCTTGTTTTGTTTGGTTTGCTGTGTGTTGTTTGCTGTTTTCACTTTCACAGAAAAATACAAGCTGACCTGTGCACTTTTTGCACGCACGGCGGCTCCACCCGTGCTAGGCACAGTAACCAAGCCATGAACAGTGTCAGCAACTTCGACTTGGCTCCAAGCTTGTCAAGTGGCTTTTTGCAATGATTCAACGCCCGATTATGTCTCACATCTGTTTCACCATGCATGTACACGCAAGAGTCTCCTGCTTTCTTCTCTAGTCGGTTGTTGTTTGGTTTTGGTTTGTGTTGATGTTGTGTTTGTTGCTTGGCTCTTCATTCTGGAGACTCTTTCAAAAACAGCACAAGCTGACCTATGCATTTCCTGCATGAATGGCGGCTCCATCCGTACAAAAAAATGTTGGTCTTTGTGTTTTCTGGGAAGTTCCTCACTCCGATCCAATCAAAACTTTGTAAACGCAAACAGGTGTCAGCGCCGCGCATTGTAATGGAGGGCCCGAGCGGCACGGAAGTGGCGCCGAGGCGGTGCCGCCCATTGTAATGGAGGGCTCGAGCGGTACCGAGGCAAAACCGCGCATTGTAATAGAGGGCCCGAGCGGCGCCGAGGCGGTACCGCCAATCATCATAATGAAAGGCCCGCGCTGTAATGAAGTGGAACCGAGGTGGTGCCGCGCGCTGTAATACCCGGTCCGACCCAACCCAGAGCTTGATTGTAAACGCAAAAACCCTATATGGTGCGTTGCAAGGGAAAATTTGAACGTTGACGCTTTGATGGAACCGGGGCCCAGGAAGCCTAACGTACGTGAGCTCAAAACATCAACACTGTTTTTTCAAAACCTCATCCTTCACAACAGCGTGCAATGCGCGGTACCGCCTTGGCACGGCTCGGGCCCACCATTGCAATGTGCGGCGTAACAATTCTTTCTCCCACAGCGTGATTGCAGGACCCGTGCTCTCTCCCCTTGCGAAAATCTTGTTCATTGACGGGCCCAAAACCAAGCGCCAAAAACGCAGTGGATTCCAGGGTCACCAAAGTGGGCCTTCCCCAGTTCAAGAACATGTGTGGACATGAATGTTTGAGGGTGGAGAACAAGTGTTTGCGGCGCTGCAAAACTATGGAAACTCAGCATTATGAAAACTTGTGTCGCGTACCTGGTTATGGCGCCGTGGAGCCTGTCATGTTTGCGGTTGAAACTAGAGCTAACTGGAAATGGCTATTGAAACCAGAGCCAAATGGAGCTAGAGCTATTTGAAACCAGAGCTAACTGGAGCCAGAGCTCTTGCAACTAGAGCTAACTGGAGCTAGAGCTCTTGAAACTAGAGCTAACTGAGTGGTGTGTGATGAGTGGTGTCTGATGAGTGGTGTATGATGAGTGGTGTGTGATGAGTGGTGTATGATGAACGGTGTATGATGAGTGGTGTTTTTGATGAGTGGTGTATGATGAGTGGTGTATGATGAGTGGTGTATTGATGAGTGGTGTATGATGAGTGGTGTATGATGAGTGGTGTATTGATGAGTGGTGTATGATGAGTGGTGTATGGTGAGTGGTGTATTGATGAGTGGTGTTTTGATGGTTGGTGTATGATGAGTGGTGTTTGACGAGTGGTGTATGATGATTGGTGTATGAACAGTTTTTGACTGTCCGTAACACGGAAGTTTCGTTCACTAAACTTCCTTCGACTGCTACTACTACTACTACCACTACTACTACCACTACCACTACTACTACGACCACGACTACTACTACTACTACTACTAGTAGTAGTAGTGCTACTATTATTGCTACTGATACTACTACAAATCAATTTTGCGCGCCTTGGCTGGTTAAATTGTGTTGGTTTGGTTCATGGCCCCTTCAACTTTTTTGTCCCCACAATGTTTTTGTATTTAGTGTGTTTTTACAATGTTTCAGATTGTAATATGCCTTTCCAATGTTGGTGTTTTGAACCAACTCTTCTTATTGGACAATGTTTTGGAAGGACCATTTGCCAATTGTTGCTCGAATACTTGTTGTGTGTGTGTGTATTGTTCTGATGGTGCTGGAATGGTAATGCAAAAGCGAAGACAGACCCTGCAAATGGAAGTTAAAAAAACATCATGATTATGAACGTGTTGTGAGATGACGAACTTGCTTATTTGCAATCTATGTCAGCAAAACTTAGGAGAGTTTGACAAGTGCTGTCAAGCTATATTATTGAAAGTGTTTGGCACGCAACAACGGGCATTTGGCTCAACAAGATTTGAATTCTGCATCCTTTCGGTTGTCGTCCAGGAGGGGTTGAACTTGGCTTGTGCATGAAGTGTACAGTAGATGAATGTTTGAACACTTCCAAGTCCTAAATGGTTTTCTTTTGCGCACTGCCTTTGGGTTGACATGAGTGCATGTTTGCATGTGTGTGATTTATTGTAAGCGAGCAAAGAAAGACTCGGAATTTGACAGGTGCCAAATTTGGCCCAGCACAATGCTTTACAACACTTCGACAAAAACAGATGCACCGACATAACTTCAATTGAAGTGTTTTTCTTCAAAATGCAACAAGGAGTCGTGGAGCATGCCTGGCACCACCCTTTGTTGCCTGATTCTCGGTTCCGGGACACATCTTTGTTCCAGTGAGGAAATGAAGCCAACACGACTTGTTTTTGTGTTTTTTTGAGCATTCACACAGGCTGCTTCCAGGTGCACATTGCATATCTTTTCACTTTTGTGTTTTGATGCTTTTGCTTTCAAACAAATATATTTTGTTGTTATCAAAATTTGGGATGTTGGGAATTTGGCCTTGTTGCGTTTTAAGGGTCCACCACACCCTAGCTCATCCGCTTCATTGCGGGGTGGGGTAATGGCCCGCCTGTCTGCTTAGTGTTGCCCCGGGGATTGAACCTAGCTCATGCGTCGGAGCCTTTAGACCATACCGTCGACTAGAAACTACTAGTAACAAGAAGCTACTAGGAACAAGTGCATCGCTTCTAGTAACAAGTGCCTTACTAGTAGTAACAAGAAGCTACTAGGGGCTCCTGGCCTTACTAGTAGTAACAAGAAGCTACTAGGAACAAGGGCGTTTCAGAAAGAGGATCTGACGGATCGGAATTGCCAACCTTCAGGCAGATGAAAAAAGGTGAGCCTTGGAGACCTATCGATGCCCCGGTCTCTTGGACAAACGCAGTTCGTTGTCATGTGGACTCATCTGGTCATGCAACTGCGGACTCAGGACTTTGATCCGCCCCTGCTACATCCACATGAAGTGCAAAAAAATGAAACTGGTGAAGCTCTTCCTTCTGCTGAACTTTATGAGGTCAAAACTGGGACCGTTGTACAAGGTGTGTGTTTCCGCATTTGTTATCACTCGGAAAATACTTCACCTCGGGTTGCCGACACCAGATTTGAATTCGTCTGCTTCTACATTCCAACTTTAGATCTGCTGTTTCCTTGCGTCGGTATTATTTTCTTTGTTTGGGGTGATCAAATGTCCTGCTTAGAAGGTTCTGTGACACTGTGATTCAGTGCCGGTTCTTTTTTTGAGCTGAACTACTGTTGCAACGTCCAGATGAACAGGGAGAAAAAATCTTTGAGCTGTGGGTATATAATTTGGTGACAGACATCTAAGGCTAAGGGTTTCTATTAGTTTATCCCTTTCGATGGTGGAGGCGGATTTGGTCAAATGAAGCCCTGCAGCCACTCTTCGAAGTGACCGATGGACCGATGTCCAGGTGTATCAAGGACCAGTGGTCAAGCCACTGAAGATGATCCGCATCCGGCAGTGTCGCAAGAAAGAGCCTCACATAGCTTTTGTGGAGGCTGGGGAATCGATTGAAATGTTCGAAAGGTCTTTGGAGGTGCAGGAGGTCCAAGAATGCAAGAATTATCATCCACAGATGTCAAGCAAGGAACACTTGAGTGTAGCTTTGGATCGACAATCTGTCTCTAGAAATGAGAGATTCCACGTGAAGTCTGCATGCATGAAACTCAAACCAGAGGCAGACTCTCCTGAGCTGAAGCTCGAATCAGAGGCGCAGGTGAGAGGGCTATGCTCCGTTTTGGTCGTTCGGGAAGAAAAGCTCTTCCAGGTTTGTACGCCGGGACGATGCGCTACTGAGAACCTTCTGTGGTTACTGTAGAAGAAAGCTATACAAGAGTCCAAGCATATAAGATAGGGAGGAGCATGCACCTGTGTATGATTTCTGGTCTTTCCAACAGAGAAAGAAAGGTGAAGCCTATAAGAAGATTTACTTGCAAATTGAATAGCGGACCTGCATATTAAAGGACTGCTCTCATTTGATCATAGAATCTCGTTTGTCCTCTCACTTCCTCTCGCCTTCACCTGGGTCTTCGTATCTCATTGCTTTCTGAGTCCATAGCATATCATATTTATAAATACTATACATATGTACAATTGAAATAACATTGAATCCTTTAGCCTCCAGCTAACAGGCAATTGTCAAAATTTGGATGCCGAACGCCTGGATCCAGATTGCCCACAGGCACTCGATATCCTAGCTCCGGAAAAACGATTCGTTTTCACGCATGGAAGAAGGAAGAACTGGAATATTCTTTCTTGGAGATTGGGGTTATACTTGCAGCACTCACCGGTTGATTGCTTGGGCAGACGACTGGTTGCAAGCGCGGGTGTTTACTGTAATTTGTGTTTACGCGACAAGGCCCCAGGATTCCTATGCTAGGTGTCGTTCATGATTTAGCCAGGATGTATGTCGTGCGGCTAGGAGTTTGAGCTTCTCCAAGGTAACGTAAGTGCATGTCGGGGATAAGCAGAACCACAGCTTTTCATCGTATGCGCCCCTACAAAGTAATATTTGGTCATGTTCGGCCCGTCCGACATGCCAAAGTCTTGCAATTCCGAGGCAGTGTGGAGCCAGGCGAGATTGTCAGCCCTTGCAGCAAAGCAGCTTGGGCAGGAAGGTTTTTTAGCGGTAATTTGTTGTCCGCATTCAGTTCTTGCCTTATTGACAAAGTCATTTGCGAGAAACTGTTGGAGTTTGACGGTCAGTTTGATGCTCTTTTGGTTTGCACTTGGAACGGGTCAGAGCTTTTCTGTAGCAGTCGGAGTCCTTCACCAACCAAGGGAGTCGGAAGCCACAAAGACCAAGCCACGCTTCGAAGTCGGAATGGAGGCTTGCATGTGCTGTTCAACCGATGGCTTGAGTAGTTGTCCCACCATGCGTGACCTAAAGGCCAGACACCTAATTATTTTTGGCTCGAGGCATTGTCTTCCTCCCTTTTTCAGTCTCATCATCGCTGGTAAATCGGTCTGATTACCATGTCTTTGCGCGTGGGTCTGATTACCAAGGGCACTCGGGGCGATGTGCAGCCCCTGCTAGCATTGGCGCAAGAACTCCGATTGAGAGGCCACCAGGTGGCGATTTGTTGCCCGAAATGTGTGGTGTCTTTGGTCGAAGAACGTGGAATAGCAGCCTTTGGCATGTCTTTCGACCCCAAATCGGCCATCCAAAGTTCTGAGATGCAGGAGGCCATTGCTTCTGGTGATGGAGGTTTGTGCATCAAGGCTTTTAACACTTCGCAAGAGCACCAGATCTTGGCCTCTGGTGTCAACCCGGCCCAAGAAGTTTACGACTTTGTGCGCACGTTCCGTGCTGATGCCCTGGTGGGTCATCCCAGCTTTGTTCCGTTGATTGCTGTGGCTGAGGCGTTTTCATTGCCACTAGTCAACGCCTTATTCATGCCATTTCTCCCTTCTGCTGTGGCATACCCTGCATTTTTTTGCTCGAAATCAGCTTGAAAAACTTGGCTTGCAGGGAAAGCCACTGGAGGCTCACAAGCAGCTCTGGGACAATTACATCACCCCGGAAGAGTTTGCCCAGCTCAATCATTTGCGCACCGGTTGGGGATTGAAAGCGCACAAGGATGTGGCTGAGACACAGGCAGTCTACCAATGCGCTCATGAAGCCAACTGCTGGAGTCCTCATCTTCTACCGGAGCCATCAGATCTGCAGGTAGAATTCCCATTTGCCAGACAGACTGGCTATCTTTTTGCAGATTCACCTGAGTATCAGCCATCCCCCGAGCTTTTAGCTTTCTTGGCACATCCATCGAAACCAATCTATGTAGGCTTCGGGTCTCTTTGTGTGGGGGACCCGCGGGAAGCCACCGAAAAGGTTCTCCGTGCCTTAAAGGCCAGCAATCTGCGCTGTATCATGGCTGGTGGTTGGGCAGGCTTGAGCCCTTCGCAGTTGGATGCTGAAAAGACGATCGATTTCCACCTACTGAAGGACTTTGCTTCAACAAACGTATTCTCACTTGAAGCCTGTCCACATGACTGGCTGCTTCCACGCTGCTGCGGTGCAGTACACCACGGTGGGGCTGGAACAGTTGCTGCTGCTGCACGAGCAGGGATCCCACAGGCCATTCTGGCGGTTGCATGGGATCAGCCATGGTGGGCTGAATACTTGGAGGATCGACTTGCAGTTGGCATCAACCTTCGGCAGATGATCTCCAAGGTGGATGAGAGGCTTTTGGCGACAGCCTTCCAACGATTGGCGGAGGAGGATCAACTTACAACGGCTGCAGCAGACTTGGGAAAGTTGATCCGAGAGGAGCGGCCTGGCCATGAGAGCCTCGCAGACTTCGTGCTGGAGAGTGTGAAATTGCCACATCCTTGGCCTACAAAGGAGCAGCCCACACCCTTGAATCTCTTGCCAAGCTTGTGGGACAGAGCCAGCCAGGAGAACCTGAGACGGGCGCTGGGAGGTGCCTAGAAGGCCGCCTGGTAGAGGAGGATGCAATGCCTGGATCAGCTGAGTGGTTCTGGCTCTTGTTTCGGCAAACCATGTTGTACAGAATCAGCTGATCAGTTCCAATTCAATGGTCTTTAGTTTTGCAACCATGTCTGTAGATGGCAATGGTTGCTATGTCGCTGAAAAACCAGCGGTTGGCTGAAAGCCTTTTCTATGCATCATGCGGTGACGTGAGCATTCCAAGAATTAAAGGCTCAAGTCATGATTCATGGTGGCCTGCTGATGCCATTTCGCCAGGTATCGCTCCTTGCTAGGTCTGCACTGTAAGGATGCCCACAATTTTTTTGCACCATTCTATGCTTTTGGCAGGATGAGAAGAAGGAAGCCTCAGAGCCCGGAGCCGAGCAAACATGATTTGACCAGCACTTGTTTGTTTTGCCTGAAGCCGACTTAGAGTGGAAGCAAGGAAAAGCAGGCCAAATGTTTCTTGTCTTGTTAAGACGCGAGTAGACTTCTTCTTGGTCGCCTGAGGCGTCTATCCTCTACAATGAAGCAGGCAGCATTTGTTTTAGATTTGTGGTTTGGATGTTGCCAGCGACTCCTTGTAGTTGAGAGTTCACCGACAATTGCATAGAAACCATAAAACACTGGGGTGTGAGGTGCCCTCGGCCTTCACAGAGGATGGCATGGGCCGACAACCCACAGGCCACGATTGCGGCATTGAATGATGTTGAATGTCTCATGAAGCTCCGGAGGCTCTGCACATGGGATTACACACGGGGTTACACCACGGGAGTGGGCCAAATGGAATGTCTCACCGGAAGGTGTGCATTGTCCGAATTTGGCAGTATGAGCACTATCACCGCATTCCTTAGAGCAATAAAGCCTTCTGAGGTTGAGATGGAGAGGTGGTCTGCCCCTATTGAGCAATGTTGAGTATCAAATTGTCAAAAGCTCTTAATTGATGATTGAAGAAAACTCGACTAAGAAAGCAACTACGAAGGCTTCTAGAAGTATGCCTTTCCTTAGGCCTAGTAGTGCTCAGCCCGACAGAAACATATTTTGCTAATGCTGGGCAGCCTGTGGGTGTCGCCCTATGAACTGCACGACCAACTGAAGTTTTGTTTGCAGGCTTTTCTAGCCAACAGATAAGTGAGCTTAACTCTCGTTGCCCAGGCAAAAGTGTTCGAAGTAGACAGCGAAGCTTCTCAGCATGAATCTATGCTCCTCCTCTCATGTTTGTCCTTTGAACCAGTGAAGATTGGCACGTAAGCATTGGCAGAAACATGAAAGCAATGTCTTGCACTTCTGGGTCTTAGCTTTCAATTGAGGCTGAGAAGATCTCAAGAAATCGAGTGGTATATAAACAATCTTGTATGTTGTGTGACGCCAAGGCAGCATGCTGTCGGAGACCTTGGCAGAGATTGTCAAAGAACGGAAGGTCAGGATGGGTTGCATCCATCGGACCGATCATTCTAGCTCTTGGTGGGGTGTGGTCTACTTTCCCTCAAAATAGTCGACATCCACCAGAAGAGGTTAAATCCTGAGGATCTGAGGCTACGATTTGAAGGTTGCTTGAAGCCACAGTGTTCCTAATTCAGGAAGAAGAGATGAGGGAAGCTTTGAAGGCCAAGATCTATGAGCAGGCCAGTGCCGGTGAGTCATGAGACAGAAAGAGAAAAATATGATTCAGATGGTTTTGAGTGGCCTCCCCGGTCATTGGGTCAGAAGGGATAGAAGGAGACGGAATGATGTCCCTGTACGTTTGGACGACTCAGGGTCAGCTTGCAAAGAACGTGGGCAACAAGGCTGCAGAGGTAGTGAAGAGCATGGATGTGGATCTATCAAGGCACGCTCGTGCAGCATCTTACTACCTTGCGGCCATGTTTCAGATGTGCAGTGCCCATGCTAGTACAGTACTTTCTTAGCATTTTGAAGGCCCAGATTCGTCGACAAAGGTATAGACTACACATTTAAGAATATAATAGTAATCCATATCAAGATAATGTGAAATCAATAAGACGTTAGTAATAATCAACCTAATAATTTCCTTCCTCTCAAACGAATTGGCTGTAGCACAAATTCTACGGGAATTATCTTCTTGGAGGCTATACCGTATGTGTGATGTCGTGTGTTTGTTTTAACCTTGGAACACTGGACCAACTGCCAACGTTGCTTGTCACAATGTAGCATTTACAGCTCATGAGAGGACAGCATTTTGTTCGGACCTTGACCTCAGGCTTGACAAGCAGAGGCAAGCAATGCATGGATGGATTTCCTCCTCATTCTTCGACTCATTCATCGGATTTATTATCCTGATCAATGCCGTCATCATCGGCTTTGCTCTTTGGCGGCAAGTGTTGTCGTTGATTTTCCTTCTTGAGTGTTGCCCTTCCTGTTGGCCAAGGAAGCAGAGGTGAGCACGCAAATCCCTTTTGGTTGTGACGAGAGCTGCAGCTTGGTCAGACATTATCAGCGGCCGCTCCAAGAACATCCAAGAATTGATAGATCTCTTTCTTTGCTTTGTGGGCTCAAGCTGCCTTCGGAATGGAGCGGACATGCTTGAACACACCGACAGCTGCAGTTCTGCCACTGTTCTTCGGACGTGAGAGAGCCCAGAGCGGACCCGACCCTTCCTGAGGCCAGTGCGGAGACGCAGGTCGTCAGTCGGAGTGCTTTGCCATGCCCGAATGGCTGCAGGCTGAGTGGGGATAAAACAATCAGAAGCAAGCAGCTATGCTAGGGCTTTTGGACGCTTTCTCCGTGTTTACTCAAACAGGTGTGGATATGACGATGTTTCTTAAATGGCAGTCAAATGATCCTATGTCCACATAATTCTGCCCAAGAATTTGTCAAACTTTATATCTAGGTCATGCTATTCCTTCATGTAGCTTGTGCTGATGATATTCCTTCATCTCCATACAACTTTCGCAAGTTTGGCCTGAACGTGGTAAAGTGACGTCACGTGTTTAACAGACGGTGTTTGGATCCTGTGAATGAGGAAAATCTTCCCAGGGATCGAGCTTGAAGAAGTCAGGCAGTGGACTACGTCTTCGCAGGCATCTACATCGCAGAGTTTGGACTGCGCCTCTATACGTATGGAATTGCAGTGCTCAGGAGCTAGGTCTTGCTGTGTTGCTGACGGATAGGTTACATACTTGTTGTGGTTCTTTCGGAGACAGTCTCTAATGCAGGAGCAATTGGGTCAAATTCGATCTCTTCTTAATTCTCTCGAGCATGCTGGACATTGCCCTGAAGCAAGTGGCGACTGTCAGTGAGGTATTGAGCCTGAGTTGAACCGAAGTTACAGGGTTGGCTTCCTGTGTTTGATCAGACATTCTGCGCCCAAAGTTCTCGTATGATTCCCGTCATTGAGGCATCTTGGTTTTGGATATATAGTTTTTGGGTGAGACATCAAGACCTTCCCTGTTATTTATGTTTGTATGAATTTGCAGAGCAAGAGCAATGCTGAGCCACACAAAAATACAGGTGGCTTGGTACATGAAACTACCTTGAGCCAACTTTCACTACCAAGGACACAAATCTTGCTGGCGAGAAGCTTAATGTGCTGGATTTGATGTGGAGGGGTTGCAGGGAAACCGGCAGCAGATGTGATCAGAATCCCAAGCAAACCAGGTTCAAGGCTTTCTTGTGCTTGTGAAAAAGCTTAGAGGGCGATAGGTTGTGAACTTGTTCAAATAGAAGGCATTCTCCACTTCCAACATCTGGAGGGGACAGGAGAATACCTTTAGACTTCGAACGCTGGGACAAACACCTGTCAGGTCCGTATACTGCGGCTTGCGCGGCTGGCGCGTGCCGTGCGCCTGGAGACCCAGTGATTGTGGACTGGATACTTCAGAGTGGCGTGAGCTCCGACCACATTTGGCACTTGTTCTGACACTACATAGACTTTCTGATTTGTACTGCTTTCTTTCCATTACCTTCCACTAGGCAGTGTTGACACACACACACACATATATATATATATATGATGTAAATGCGCTGTTGGAGGAACCACTCGTATTCTTTTTGGCTAGTGCACTCATTCTTATCCAAAGAGCACCAAGGTGTGTGTAACAGCTTCGCAAGGGATTTGTCTATGTGTTCATTTATTCAATGAACACAGCGCACATAGTCATAGGGTCAATATCAGTATGATTGTACCACGAAGGCCTGGCTTGTAGTTATCATGACAGGTCTCATGGTGCAGTTCCGGGTTCTTTGGCAGCTGGTGCAAGGGTTGCTTCACAGCGTGAGCAACCTGGCGGCAAGCTGTTTTTCTCGGTTTCTTCTGGCAAACGTCACTAAGAAGTAGAAATCTCAGCCATCGTTAGAAGAATTGGGCAAACCCTGGTTGCAAAGGCTCCGCTAAAGGGATGAACTTTTTGATTTTCATGAAGTCCTGGCCAAGGCACCTTGTTGTGGACTTTTCTTATGGTGATGATCTTGGTCTATGGGTTTGCCATCGTTGGCATTGTGCCCCGGTCGCAGATTGCACGGTTGTGCTGACCTCGATGAGGAGGACTTGGTCCAAGTGGTCTGGGCATCAAAGTTGTGGGTGTGAAGTGCATGTTCGACCCAGTTGCGAGCTGTGTAGACTGCTTCAAGGCGATGTTATCCAGACACAGGCATTGGCATTGGTCTAGCACCCTAAGAGAGCTTCTTCCTGTTTGGAATCTCAGGAGACCATCCATGTGGATTTGACACTGCCTTTGGAACATCCATACAACGTGGCAGTGAGTCTTGGCTATTTGAGAAAGGTCATTGAATGGAGCAATCCCTTCCATTCGTTCCACTGCTTGACGGATGTGCAATGATCGGAATGGACTGGAATGTCAAAGCTGCTTTTGCTGCCCTACTATTGCCACTCTTGCTGCTACAGCAACTGCTCCTAATGATAGTGTGATGTTTTCATAATAGGCTACTGGATGGTACCTGGCGGGAGATTCAGTGCTGCTTGAAATTTGCTTTCAGTAAGATTGCATATGATTTGTGCTTCACATGCAACGCCCACTGGGCACGGTTGCCTAGAAACAGGAAGGTCAGAAGTTATGAAATGGTTCCTTTGAAAAGGAAGAACTTGCAGCACATTCGTTTGGTCGGTATTTCTTTTCCGGAAGCGAAGCTGACCGCTTGCGACCGTAGGATGCAAAACTTCGACCGTTTCAGCGATGCCATGCTGACCCTCTTCCAGTGCTTCACCCTGGACTCAGCAGGTGAGGTCTATCGACCCCTGATCACTCACAACCCAGTGCTGACTCATGGTTGCAGAAAGAGTGATTGGGCTCCATTAGGCATAGAGGTACAATGAAGCTACTAACATTTGCAGGTCGAAAGAGCAAAACCATGAGAGACGGCTTGTTCCTGATTTGAGAGGGAAGGATTGGCGAGGATACCAGCACATTCCATTTCTTTATCACATTCAAACCCTTGAGGATTGCGTACTTCATGACTGTCATCCTTGTAATGGCGCAACTTGGCAAAGTCACTAGTGGGTAACTCTGCGGTCTCTTCCCTTGCGCGAGAGAAAGACAGCTAAATTTCACGAGGCCAACCATCAATATCGAGGGCAGACCTACATGTTCAACCAGCTCCCCAACATATATCCTCCCATACAAAGTCTCCGTCGTTGCGCAGCTACGAATAGTGCACTAGAAGGAATAGTATGACCACTAACGTTAAGTGTCCCACAAATCTAGAAACCAAATCATTAGCGTGAGCTATCCTGCGTCGTAAGTAGCAGCTACTTAAGCTCCTAGCTACCTCTTCTACTACTGTAGCTAGTCCAAGCGATTCTCTTCCGACCGATGCAAAGCCCAGGGTGTCACTGATGAACCTGGTGACTGCCATTATGGTGAATTCTGCCTTGGACCAGGCAAGCGAAGACAAGGATGTGACTTGTCGGAATTGAGGTGACATCCAAATGACGAAGCGACACCTTGACTCTTGACACACAACCAGTGCCAACGTGTTTCAAGGTGAAGCGAGCTTATGAGGCAGTGCAGAAACGGAAGCAGCCACTTGACTCAAACATGGAGATGATGAAGGTGCAGGCACAAATGACCTTCAAGGGCGCGGACCGCTGAAGTTGGCCATCACCAAGTCTCATGACTCATGATCATTGATATGTTGATATCTCAGTTTGGAATTCATGAATGTATGTATGGTGTAAACATAGTACATCACAATTAAGACATACTTGAAAGATCTTGAACACATCATACGTGCGCCCATTCTGCTCTTACAGCTCGATCTCTTCAAACTTTCAATCTCCCTAACAAGCTGGGCTCGGACGTCCTCGAGAGATCGCCCCTCGTGCTCTAATGGGACTGGAGCTGCCAAGGCTTGAGCAGTTGAAGGTCATGTTTCTGGAGCTGGACACTGATGGCTCAGGTTGGACCAAGGATGTTTTGGATGTTTGGAGTGTCGCATAGCCGTTGGGTAGGGCAGTTTCCCACTGGATCAGCAAGGACACCTTGGCTCTGTTCTCTGTGCAAGATGTTGCTTTGGTTTAGCGTTTAGAGTCCCCGCTGGACATTAGCACCAGACACTCGCACAAATCATTCATGAAAAACACTTGGGCCAAGCAGAGTCAATCACAACTCACGACATGCCTTTGATGAAGCAATGCACAGACTTCACCGCTGTTTACAGAGCCATCGCCAATTATCAGAGTTGCAGTCACTATAATGCCATTCAGATACCTTTGGTAACCACAGCAAGACTCCCAACCACACTCCCGACCTGTTTAGGTGTTCTGAGAAGTTCTTTGTGGGTGACAGGGGCGTTGCCCGCCGTCCATGTCAGGTGAGCTGACGTTGGAGGAGCTGAAAACTGCTCCGGAGGAAGTCCGCGAGCAGTTGGAAGCAGTGGCAGGCACAGAGGACGGAGAATGGTTCAGAAAAGAAAAATAAAAGGACCGGATAACTCCACATGATAAGTTTTACACATTTCAAATGTATATGAACATCACTTGGGAGACGGAGTAGTGAGATGAAAAGTCAAGAAGGAAGTGTGAGGAGAGAAGGCATATGAGGCGGTTATACTCAGACGTGCAGTATAAGTGATGATGTGATGGACGAGGATGAGAAGGAGGGGAGGGAGGAGGTGTGTGTGTGTGTGTGTGTAACCCTTGGAGTCATAGGGATCCTTCTGGATTTGTTTAGTATTATTGCAGGGGGTGCAAGCAGCCCATCCAGTCTTGCACCAACGAAGACACTGGATGTGTGCTGGTGAAATCAATCCGGGACGCCGGATTGACGTACCTGCTTGGAGAGAAACCTACTTAATGGACAAGCTGTTCCAATTCTGTGTTTTGCAGTAAGCGGCTAATGCAGCGGTGATGAACTTGACTTTTCTGCACGTACGTCGTCACCTTGTCGTCCGCTCGATCGGCGTTCTTCTTTTGGAGCTGATGGAACTCTACTTTCTTTCTAAGACCTCTTCTTCCTTTCTAAGTTTCCTCACCTGGTTTTTCAGGATTTGGGTTTCCTAGGCTGGCGAGTGGCACCGCTATCACATCAGTACGCATACCCATGAGTGTGTTTGGCTACGTGCCAACCCGGGATGAGCCCGCAGAGTGCCTCCCGTGGACCCGTCGAACGGGTGTACGTCGAACGTATCCACTGCCCGGATACAGAGCAGCTCGCAGCGAGCGTAGGTGGCCTAGGCCGTACGTCCGATGATTTTTGTCTCATCTTTGGAATTCTAAGCTGGCTCATGCCCATACGTGACCGCAGCGGTCCAAGCTGGCTTAACGCCTCAACGTGGTCAGAGCGACCGAAGTACTTTTGAGGTTCATTGGAACCTGTTGGAGCCTTAGTTTTTCAGTTGATCCTTCTCCTCTCGCCATGTTCCCTTCTCCCGCTGGCCTCAACCCTGTGGACGGCATCACGATGAGGGCCCAGACTATCCTACATCGAGAGATTCTTCATTTACATGGTTTATTGATTCTCGCCATCTCCCTCCTACGCACCCGCTTCGCTATTCTCAACCCTTCGTTTATGGACTACATCACCTCACCACATATTCACTACCTCACCACATATTCGCTATTCTCACCTGGGCGAGTGGCGCACCTTGCCGTGGTGCTCAGGCTTAGGGGCTCGACTGCATTAGTGTAGAAACTCGAACTCCAGCAGAACTACAGAAAAAGGGCGCTGACGCGCTGCTTCTTGCACAGTGACGCTAGAACAGTCCAGTCCTGACCAACTACATACCCTTTTGGGTGTTCGCTCTCATGGCGGTGCATACACATTGCCCAGGGACATCCTTCACTTTGATCCGAAGTATCCGCATGTCCTGTACTTGGAGTTTTTAAGCTGCGAGCGACGTAGAGCCACACACACTCTTCGCGGCCCCCATACTTCAGGTGCTTCGCCTTCAAGGTTGCAAGGTGAGGTTTCAGGCTGTATCTCGAGGTGTTGGTGGCCTCCACTTCGGTGGTTGTCACTGCCTCGCCGATACGTGGGAGGTCGCTCCGGGCAGTTTTTTGGGAGGACTGCCGGGTAAAGATACGTTGCTTAATGTCATTTTTGAGGTTTTTGCTGACTACACACCCCTGTGTCTCCACATGGCATCTGTTCACATACCGTACCTTTGGCTTTTAGCTACATGCCCTCGTATCTGGCCGACCTGATGGTCCGGGGAATCAGTAAACGCAAACTTCGTCGTAAACGTAGGGCCCGTAAGTTGGCCATCTATCGACGACTCAAAAATCGGCTTCACCTCAAGTCTGGTACACACAGACGCCAACGTAGTCAATGGAAGCTTGGCTTATGGAACGTTCGCCGTTGGGGAAGTAACAACGTGCCGTATGATCCGTACTCCAAAACCTGCTGCCTACTGCGCCTGGCTGCCCGTCGTCAATGGAACGCTTGCCTTTTCACTGATGTGACGTTCTCTTCTGATGTCAGCCTTCAGATCGAAGTCGACGCCATACCTTGGCATCTTGAACTTGCAGGCAAAGTGGCTATCGCCCTTGACCCTTCTATGCTGGCTTCGTGGCAGGCCGGCGGCTGTCACCGAATTCGCCCTCGAGCCCAATCTGAACGAGTTTTTGCCCTCCACATTCCCAGACAAGGACACCGTGTAGGCCTCGCGCTGGTCGTAGCTTATGCCCCTGTCAGTAGCGCCCCCGCAGCAGAAAGGAACGCGTTCCTCACTCAGCTCTCCGAAGTTCGTAGCAAGATCCCAGCCGGCGACCTGACCATCATCGGAGGGGATTTCAATGCTGAGATACATCATGCTCTTCACGGCCAACATCCTTCAATCCTGGGCCCCTGGGGCAGCACCCGTACCAGCCCTAGTGGCCACCGTCTGCTTGAATGGTGTACTCGCGAGCACATGACACTAGTGGACACCAAGTTCTCCCAACCACACGCAAAGCGATGCACCTGGTGGCACCCAGCGCGCTCCACAGGCCACATCCTCGATCATGTCCTAACACCAGCGCATGAGCTCCGCTACTTTGACAACGTCAAAACGGTGCATGAAGGCCGCCGAGGCAACGCTGGCACTCCTCTTCGCCGGGTCGATCCTCAGCATGTTGCTCCATCTGATCGGCTGTATTGGGACGACTTCACGGACCACCTCCCGGTGGAAATCAAGTTCCACTACTGGCCCCGGTTCGCCCCTCGTCCGACTGATCCGGTGACGACCCCACGTCCACAGGTTAACCGCCTGGCTCTCCCCGGCGTACAAAGCCACATCCTTCAACAACACTGGCATCGACAATTGGACCAAGCCCTCCAAGCTGCCGGTGCACATCAGCAACAACTGAGCTGGGATACTCTCTCCTCCCTCTGTCTGCACACATCCACAGCCGTCCTAGGTCTCCAACACAAAATCAGTAAGCGTCCCCATCTCGTCGGCCATGAAATCGAGAACGCACAATTGGACATAGCTGTTCATGATGCACACGCATACCTGCGAACTTTTGACCATGACATGTTACCACGAGATGCAGCACGCCAACACATGTATGATGATGCCAAACACGCATACAGACAAGCTGGACACCATCGACGTCAGACACGCTTGCGTTGGAAATGGACCTGGTTGGATTCTCTTACGGATGAACTAATCACTGCGCAACAACAAGGGGATTCTCGGTCAGTTTTTGCTATCCATAAGATATTAGGCCTCCGGGACCACTACTTAAAACGCAGCCCACATACACACACTGTCCCCAACCCCGAAGCAGAACGCGAAGCCTGGAAACTTCATTTTCAACAACTGCAAGCCGGCCGCGAACACGCAGCCGCACATGTTTGGAACAATGTCGCCCGCGGTAACCCGGCCGGCCCCGCATTAAGCACCCCCCCGAGTGATGAAGAATTAGCTGCCTGTGCCAAACATATGAAAAACGGTAAAGCAGCGGGGTCCGATGGTTTCCTAGCTGAGTTCTACAAATATGGTAGCCCCACACTACGTAATCAAATCAATAATTTGGTCCGACACATGTGGCAGGCGGCTACCGAAGCACCCCCCGGACAAGAAGCAACCAACTGGCCCACCGCATGGAACACGGGCACCGTCATCCCACTATGGAAAAAGAAAGGTTCCCCACAAGATAAAAACACATATCGCGGTATCACATTGCTGAGCGTGGGGTCCAAACTTTTAGCTAGGGTAGTGGCACAAAGACTCCAAACGTGGACCGAAACTTGGCTTCATGAAACACAAATGGGGTTTCGACGCGACAGATCCGTAGATGATGCCTTACAGGTCACTAGGCGCATCGTCGAAGAAGCGGCGGCTAGTCACGATACACAGGATGTTGTCTTGATCCGGCTGTTTGACATAGAGAAAGCCTACCCGCGCGTCAGTCGAGACACACTATGGACCTTACTGGCACACAAGGGCGCTCCAGCTGAGTTTATTAACGTTTGCAAAGCGTTGCATGAACACACACAATATGTGGTTCGCATCCATAAAGGTTTCTCCACCCCCTACTCAGTAGATAAGGGCCTGCGCGAGGGATGTCCATCATCACCCCCTCTCTTTAACCTGTATCATCACGCTGTGATGGAAGACTTCCGCGTCCGCCGCGCACAACAGGCAACCCAATCCGGTTACTCCCCAGGGATCCCCTGGACAACCAAGATAGACGGTAGGGTCCACCATGGATATCATAGCCGGCAACATTTACACAAAAAGACCGAACAAACAGTCCTAGGAGACATAGGTTTTGCGGATGACACAGGACTAGTTGGACTCGCCGCAGAAATGAGTCAGGCCGAAATCCTGTTGGAAACCACGATGCGGGATTGGCAAGAAAAGGTGCACCCGGAAAAAACGGAAGGGCTTCGTTTGCAGACCTTCCCTCGTGCACCTACTGATGTCCGTCACAAAGGGGAACAAGCAACCATCCGTCATGTCGGGGGTTTTTTACAAGAATCCGGAAGCACCCACACCGATACCATGACCAGAAAGTCTAGAGCCTATCACAAAATTTATCAAACAGCTAAGGCATGGCATTTTGGGGCCCGTGCAACACGCCGGAATTTGCCGCACAGCTTACGCATCCGGATAATGAAAGCAGTAGTAATGCCGACGCTCACCAGCTTTGGCCGTTCTCGAGCATGGAACCGCGAACAAATTAAACAACTTCAAACAGTCGTCAATTGGGCGGTCCAGCGCTGTTTACTTATCACCCGAAGATGGAAACGCGAGAACCACGTAAACAGCCGCTTACTTAATGAGTTAGCACAATGGGAACCTTTTGAAACAACGATAGCGCGTCAGAGTCTGTTTTGGTTAGGGCATGTAGCGCGAATGGACAAAGCTCGACTCCCTAAACAAGCTCTATTTGGTTTTTGGCAAGACCACCTGATCAAGCCTCACGCGCCTTTCCGTCAGGGGCAATGGTTGCAGTACCTCA